CTCTCACACAAAGGAGATGCCCATTTCCATTGCACCAAGCCGTGGAGCAGCTCGTTCCAACATGCCCATACCAAAGCTATCCAAGTTCTGCCAGACCTCTGGCCCCAAGCATTTCAGACAAGGAATGCCCAGCTGTATCTTCATTCTGCAAGACAGAGGGGAAACTGAAGCAACAAAGCAACTTGCTCCGATTTCACAGGTGGAAGAGTTTTTGTCAGGATTTGAACCTGAGCCCATGGCTCTTGCCCAAACTCCCCTGCCTGCCACTGTCACAGAAGGACCCAAAAGCCTCAACTGACACATAGGTGCTATCTAAGGGGAGCTGCTCAATGTCCTCAATCCAGAAGGTAAAAGTTTCTGTTTAAAAAACTGTGAGCCTGCCTCCCTTACAGGTCACACACCCAGCTCTGGGCTCCTTCCTGCCTGCTCTTCTTTTGCTGTTAATGGTTGGGCAGTGTTTGGAGTAACGACTTACCATCAAAACTACCAGCAGGAAATACCAAGCAGAAAGAGAGAAGGTTGCCAGGTGAGATGTTGATTTGGGAGCAAGGAATGATCTCTAATTGTCAATCTGAGAATGTCTAGCTGTGGCAGCAGATGTTTGAGGGCGGAACTCTTTGAAGCATCCCTCTGCCTTCCTCTGGGGGCGAGGGCTCTTTGGTCTTTCAACACTTGGCACGTGTCACAGCACATCAGCAATGTCACAGCTTTGTTTTCTAGAGACCCAGGCTTCTAGGGGTCAGCTGTGAGTATACCAGCAGTCCTATGTGGAGGCTCAGCCTAAGTGGGGTTCATGGTCCCACAGACTCAGGCCCCTCCTCTCTCTTATCCCTCTACCATGTGTGACTTTTCTTTCCCACAAAGTCATCTCCTAGCCCAAGTTGGATGCTGGTTGTTCCAATGTTACATATGCATTCTAGGTATTAGAAATGAGGAGAAAAAAAGAAGAGAAAGAATTTTAAAAATACCTTTATCTTGCCAGGCATGGTGGCGCATGCCTTTAATCCCAGCACTCGGGAGGCAGAGGCAGGTGGATCTCTATGAGTTCAAGGCCAGCCTGCTCTACAAAGCGAATTCCAGGCCAGCTGGGGCTACAGAGAGACCCTGTTTCAAAAACAAAAAACAAAACAAAAAAAATACCTTTATCTTTTAGCAGGGTGTGGTGGTGCGTGCCATCATTCTCAGCACTTGGGAGGCAGAGGCAGGTCAGTCTGGTTACATAGCGAGTTCCAGGCCAGCTGGGACTACCGGGAGACCTTGTCTCAAAAAGACCAAACAAAACAAAAACAAAAAAATCTTTATCTTTTAAATTGTGTGTGTGTGTGTGTGTGTGTGAGCGTGCGCTATGAGACCAGAGGCGTCAGATCCAGCTGAAAGTGGGGTTACAGGAGATGGTGTACCACCTGATTTAGGTGCTCAGAACTCACCTTGGGTCCTCTGCAAGAGCAGTATGTGCTCTTAACTGCTGAGCCATCTCTCCAGCTCAATAAAATATTTTTAAAGAGATGCTCCAAGCTGGGTGGTGGCACACATCTGCAAGCCCAGCACTCAGAAGGTGGAGGCAAGGAGGATCAGGAGCACAAGACCAGCCTCGGCTACATAGGGTATTTGAGGCCAGTTTGGGCTACATAAAACCCTATCTCAAAACCCAAACAAGAAATGTTCTAGCATCACCTCTACACTCGCACTTTCTTTGTAAAATAAAGTGGCAATGTGACTGCTAACTCTAAAGAAAGTTGGGGAAAATAAAGTCCTAACTAGGGAGCCCCATGTCCAGCTTTTTAAGAAAAATGTGCGAGTTGGGTGTGGTGCACACTTTAATCCCAGCTCTCAGGAGGCAGAGGCAGGCAGATCTCTATGAGATGGAGGCCAGCCTGGTCTACATATTGAGTTCCAGGCCAGCTGGGGCTACAGGGGGACCCCGTCTCAAAACAATAACAACAACAAAAAAGTGTTCTATTAAAAAGCAACCATTGAGCCAGCAAGATGGCTCAGTGACTAAAGGCACTTACTGGTAATCTCATGATCTGAGTTAGATCTCTGGAACCCACATGGTGGAGGAGAGAAGTGACTCCTGAAAGCTGTCCCCTGACATCCATATGCACGTCATGGCACATGCTGGGAAACACACAGTGGTCTTGGACAACTGAATCTTTCTGGCCTTTGGTTTTTCAATTTGTGAGGTGACGACAGTAGTTGCTTCATAACTAGAGACAGAGTGCTTGGTACAACGGTCTGGGAGACAGAGGCTATGGGGAATGCCAGCTGTTATTATCGCCACATCTCGTGAGAACTTCTAGGAATCAACACTCTCCTGAAGCCTCTGCCATGTGGACAGGGTTCCTGGAGGCTAGTGTGGAGAGGGCATGTTGGCCTCTCAAGCCCTCTCTGAAGGGTGGTTGCTGAGACTTTGGGTGGGAACCCAGCAGGGCTGCGACTTTTAGGCTACAGCGCCCTAAGCATGTAGCACTTCAAGCTCAGTGGCATTCCTTGCAGCAGTTATCAAGGAACAAGGTGATCCTGACAGAAATGCTGCTGGATATGACCAGTTGGTTGGTTGAAAGCATTTTGGGTGGTGTCAAATTTTATTAGTGGCATTCCTGGTCTCTGGGAAATATCCAATGAGAAGTCAAGTTGTGTCAAAGGACAAAGCCACAGACCCAGCTGGGTACTAGGCACACAGTGGCTACCTCATTCCCTTTTGTGATGATCCAGACTATGTTCCAAAGGCTGAAAAGAGAAGTAACACTAACAGCCCACACTTAGGCTGGGCAATGGTCTGCACTGGCAAGGCAGGTCTTCCGGCAAGAGGATTTGGGAAGTTGAGGGGCTCTACTTGACTAACCATGTGACCTTGGGTAAGTCAGAAGATGGATGCAAAGTAAACTCATAGAGTGGTGAGCTCAGGTGGGCCCCTTCTTTACAGGTGGCTATGGAGGGGGTTACACACCTCCTGACACTCAGTGAGTGGCTGCCACCGAGTGTTTGACCCTCAGGGGTGTTTGAGGCAGAAAAAGGCAGAAGGAGAGGACTGTCTTTGTATCAAGAACCCTGCAGAAGATGGTGTGATGTTGCTCATCTTGCATCTGCTGATCTTCCCTCAGAATGAGAAACGAGGCTCTAGCCAGTGAGTTTTAGTTATATGAAGCAACAGTGTCACTGTCAGGGCCACTCAGAGCTCCCACACCTGGTGGCATCAACACAAATGCCTAGTGACATGGATGCAGGGGTTCTTTAAACCCTGTGATCACATGCCTTGATGCTTTCTTGGAATTCAGAGTAATTCTTGGCATGAAGCTTGCTTTGTTACTTGTTTTGAGACAGGGTCTCTCTATAGTCTTGGCTGGCCTGGAACTCACTACGTAGACCAGGTTGGCCTTGATCTCACAGAGATCCACCTGCCTCTGCCTCCAGAGTGCTGGGACTAAAGGAGTGTGCCACCATGCCCGGCTTGAGCATGAATCTTACGCATATACACTATACACTGGCAAAGACAGAGGGCTCCTCAAATACAATCAGAGGTTCTGAGAGCAAACAGTCATCCAAGGCCAAAAACATTTCAGAGACACTTATCATAATCAAAGGAAGGGGAAATAGTTGCAAATCTGTTTGATAAAATCTGATACTCAACAAAAAGAGGAGGGTGCAAATATTGAAGCACGGCCAGCCACATCCTACTTTAGAATTTGGTTTAGAAAGCAGCCTCTGAGGGGCCAGCTCTGAGCAGCCACCCAAAGTAGCTTGGTGATGGTCGGGTGGGAGAAGACAGGAGGCCAAAGGTTCTGGGAAAAGAACCTCAAAGTTTGGGGCTCAGCCTTGTAGCCTCTGCCAGGAGCCCAAGTCATCCCTTGAGGTAGGGACAGGGATGTCTGGATAAATATTGCTCCATGATTTCGTCTTACCTTTGGCTCATGGAGACAGGCAGAAGGCAAATGGCCAGTCCCCACAATAGATGTGGGATGCTCGTTCCAGGGAAAAGCTGCTTCTGAACAGGTGGACCCTGTCCCCAGGCTACCTCCATTCACTCCCTCAGCTCTTTTCAAAGCCCAGGTTCTCAAGCAGGAGAGGCAGTGGGGCAGAAAACAGCAGCGCACTCTCTCTCATAGGGAGCATGCCTCATTTCCTCTATTTCGGGACTGCATCCTGGAGGCCAAATCAAACACTAGTGGGTTTCTAGGCCACTTTAGCTGCAGGGCAGCCCGAGAACACTTCACTTACTGAAGGTCCAGGTTTGAATGGATTGGGTGGCTTACAGGGTCAGAGTTTAAAAAGCAAAGGACGAGTGAACCAGTGTGTCCTGTACATGGGCTCTAAGCCAAATGCAGCTGCCTAAGCCAGGTGTCATCAGTCCCCTGGGGTGTAAATGTCAGTGCAGGGAGAGCAGGACGCTGGACCTGGGTCGGCCCAGCCACCCCGCACCAGGATCAGAACTCGTTTTCTGGTCTGTTTGGATGAAGGAGACTTAAAAAGCTATCTGTCGGGTCAAGACCCCAGGTTGGTCTAGTCTGGTCACCAACTTGCACCACAGGTGGCCTTTCCTTCTGGTCTGTAAGGCCAGAAGGGCATCAACCAGGAGCTGAGCTTCACCTTGGAGGTTGGAGATGGCTGACAGGTCTACCAGGCAATGGGTTCACCCCAGTACTTCAAACCAGACTCAGATTCAGTTCCAGCTGATCTCAAAGGAGGCCGGCCCAGTCTGTGGCTGGCGACCTCTAGTGGCCACAGTCAAATTCCCTGTCCAGTGTGGGACTTTGTACCTTGCCACAAAGAAAAACTGTCAGATTCCCTCAAAACATCAGCTCTCATGAGAATATGAAATAAAAGAACTAGGAAGAAAAACAACGGCTGTAGATTCGTTTACCACATCCTTAGCTACTGCAGTTGTTCTAAAATAAGAATAATTTAAACATTTTCTTGAGGGTGTATTTATTGAGTTCTAAAACTCTGACTTACTTCAAAAATTCAAACTAAGAAACTAGGAAAATAGAATTCTCAGCAGCTCTGATAGCAGGTGGCGAAGTCTTTATAGTATTATAATTATTTTGCCATTAGAAAGATGGTTCTGACAGCTTTGGCAGTCGGGGAGCTTCACGGTCTCCACTTTATGTCTTTGACCCCGTGAAAATGTCTTTTCAAAGCAGTGTTATCAGCCCATGGAGAATTTAAACAGGAGTCGTCATCATTTTCTTCCAGTTTCTGGAAATAAACATGTTTTACTCAGGACGGCATTTCAGCAAAGTGTTTTTTTGTACAGACTGAACAACGAATCTGGGCCACTGGTCACCTCCCCCCCCCCCCCCCCCCCCCACTTGTGGTTAGGTGACAGCCTTGGAGAGGCAGGAGCTCTGGAAGGGTCCCTGTCCCACACTGCACAGAACTCACAGCCACCCACCCGCCCTGGGCCCTGGGGTGAGTCATGGGGTGCACTGCATGCTGGGAGGGGTGAGATATGGGGTACAGGCTGGGAGGGGGGAGGCACGGGGGCTTGTGGTTAGGTGACAGCCTTGGAGAGGCAGGAGCTCTGGAAGGGTCCCTGTCCCACACTGCACAGAACTCACAGCCACCCACCCGCCCTGGGCCCTGGGGTGAGTCATGGGGTGCACTGCATGCTGGGAGGGGTGAGATATGGGGTACAGGCTGGGAGGGGTGAGGCACGGGGTGCATCCCACCCACCCCTCAGCTACCTTGAGCTCCTCCTGTCTTCTGTGGTAAAACAGCATCAGCTGCTTCTGCTCCTCGCTGCTAATAATCGGCTCTCGGGCTGGTGCTCCCTGTCCCCTCTGAAAAGGAAGAGCAAAAGCAAACTGGGGGCCAAGGCATTTGTTCTTGCAGGAACCATCCAGAAATAACAGCCAGTGCTTTATACCTGCCTCTGCTGACTGCTAGGACAGCAGGATCTGGTGAACCAGTGGTTGTCGTGGGGGTAGGGGGTTCTGGCACTACCGGGATCTGGACTTTCAGTGGCTGCCATCTCTGTCATTCCCAAGGCAGCCAGTGTGGGCGCAGTATGGGCTCAGTGTGGAGGGGAGGACACTTAGAACCACAGGTTTTGGAGAGACTGGTAGAAGGCCTTGCTCCCAAAATTATATAAGAATGATTTACACATGCATAAAGGCAAGGCACCCTGCAGGTGGATGCTCTGCCTGGCTCCCTAAAGGCCCCCAACCTTGCTCAGGTGCAGGACACCTGCAGCTCAAAAATCCTGAAATCTGCGACTGGCTGGATTTGTCATTTTTAGGAACATTTTGATTTGTTCTTAAGCCTGATTTTTAGGTTGAAATTCACATGGCACATTCTTCCTCCCCCACAATTCAAAACAAATGCCACATGTAGCTCCCACTGTGGGGGCCTGCATAGGGAGAATATTTGTAAAAGGAGCCAATAGGACTCAGTATTTGCAGTTTATAATCATTCAGATTTTCTGCCAGAGTCCATCAGCTGAAAGGTAAATACGAACGCTGGCATGGAAGCAGAACACTCACTTGCTGGATCTTGATGATGATCTTGGTTTTCTCATTCCTCCCCACATAGTCGGAAAGCATCTTTGTTCTTCTTAGTTCTTTGGCTGCCCACCATAGCTGTGCCTCTGATTCTTTAATGACATCAAGTGCTGCCTGGGGCCAATCACACAACCATAGCCTAAGAGCATTAGGAGCCATAGGTGTGTCCCACCCAGCACCCAGAGCCTGGAGCCTGGAGCCTGGAGGGTGGACCTTCAGGCAGAGGACAGACCTCTAGCATCCTGCCTTCTTCCATCCCTCACTCAAAGTCCTTGCTGTTGTCAGCACTGAGTTGCTAAGCTTGAGCTCATCTCCCGAGAATGGACTCACTAGCTTCTTGCCCTGTGACGTGGGGAGCACCCTCAGCCACAGTGCAAGATCCCTTTAAGATGGCTCTGAGGACTACTGCTGGGGAGAGCATTGAGCTTGTGGAGAGGCATCAGGGTTGTTCTCTGCTGTACAGTCCTCACACACAAAGAGGCTTAGCAGAATGTACACTATCTGAACGGACAGCATTTATTAGGATCTAATACCTCAAACGACTTATTTCAGAGGAAAATGGAACAGAAGTTAGAGTAAGAAAACAGGAAGCAGGGTATGAGGCTGGAATGCAGAGGGGCCAATACACCTGGTAGAGAGCGGCACATATTAGGCCCTGGGCCTCCCAGAAGCCAAAGGAAATGGAATGTGTGCAGTTACCCTTGCTGCATAGACTGACAAGCTTTCTTTCCGGCCTCCCTGTTTGTGGGCTGCACCCTGTGACTGTGAGTTGAGTTCTGGTTCTCACAGCTCTGCTGTGACCAGGGCAGAGCAAAGGTGGAAAGCAAAGCTTCACGCTTTAGGCAGGTCAAGCCTGAGTGGCTCTAGGGAACATAAATCACTTCTGGGTTACCCAGGACTACACACCTGAGTTCCTGACAGATCTTCTTTATTTTCAAATTCCATCTGGATGGGATCGTATGGTGGCAGCCCCATGGGATAGACAATCATCACTGCACCTCGAAGCAGGTCCAAGGCATCTTCTACCATCTCCATGGTAACACAGACACCAGCTTCCACTTGTTTCTGAAAGTAGACCAGGCATCACTGTGGACTGAATAAACACCTATCGAGTTCTTGCACAAGACTCTTGCCAGACACTGGCAGTATGACCCCACAGAGAATGTGTAGCTGCTGCTCTCCAAGTGACTACTGTCTACTTTGGGCTGAGCCATGAACACCAGAGAGGATGGCAGAGCTGAGGGCAGACCCAAACCCAGCAGCACAGTTGGGGAGGATGAGGAAATGCTGAGGGAGATGGCAGCTCCATTTGACCTTCAACCCAAGGGACTGAAGAGGTGGAGAAGAGCAGGCTGCTTCAGGACAGGCAGGAGAAGGCAGCTGGACTTGGAGTTTGTGAGTGAGTTTGCCTTTCCTGTTAGGAGAGGGGAGAGGAGTCATAATGTTGGGAGCCTATCTTGCAGTGGGTGTAATATGGACCTAGTTGGAGGCAGGTCAGTCAGAAGGCTCTCAAGGGAACAGAGGAAAAAACATAAAATAGAAGGTATATATATATATATTAATAAGCAATATATCTAATTTAAAAAATTATGTGTCTTGAGTGTTTTGCCTACAATGTATGTAATTGCACTGGTGTTATGCAGTACCCATGGAGGCCAGAAGAGGGTGCCAGATCCCTTGGAACCTGAGCTAAGGACAGTTGTTAGTCACCATGTGGATGCTGGGAACTGAACCTGGGTCTCCTACAAGAACAGCAAGTGCTCTTAACCACTGAGTCATCTCACCAGCCCATACATAACTACTTTTTGAAGGTGCAGATCTTCAGAATCCCATGGAATCATTTAGGTGCTAGGAACATCCTTTGCTATTTGTTTTTGGTATTTCTGAGGCAGGGTCTCACTATGTAATCCAGGCTGGCCTGCAACTTACATTTCTATTGCAGCCTCCTGTATGCACCACACCCATCCAACCCTTTGCTGTTTACAAGAAGCTCTTTTTGTGCTAACAAGGTAATTCATGGTGGGCACTGTAGACAGCATGGTCCGCAGTGTTGAGAGGGGATGGAGCCTTTAAGAGCAGAACCTGGTGTAAGGTGATTAGATCACTGGGAATGTTATAAAGTGAGACTACTCCACTTGAATGGTCCCTTTGCATACTCTTCTTTGCCATGTGACAAAGACTAGGGGCCTTTATGACAGGCGATCTGATCATGGACTTTGAGCCTCTAAACATGTGAGCAAAGCTTCTTCTCTTTACAAAGTATCCAGCCATAGCTATCTTGTTATAACAACAAAGACAGACTAGGACAGTTTCTAGGAGAGGGCTGACCATTCCAGAGAGGCCAAATACGTGACAGTGTCTCAGCCCTACCTGCCAGCTCAGGGAGGAGCGGACAGCTACAGCCCGAGTCCAACCATGTGGCCAGATGCTGCCTATAGAACTAGAAGACCTGCTGGGCGTGGTGGATCACACCTTGAATCCCAGGAAGTGGTAGGCAGAGGCAGGTGGATCTCTGAGTTCGAGGCCAGCCTGGTCTACATCGTGAGTTCCAGGCTAGCTGGGGTTACTATAAGGCGCCCCTGTCCAAAAAAAAAAAAAAAAAAAAAAAAAAAAAAAAAGAACTAGAAGACCCGAAGAAAAACTCTAGGACTTCAAGACTCAGTAAAGCTTCCTGGGTGCCAGACACACTGTAATTCATGTGTGTTCCAGGAGTGCCCCGGAGCTGCTCTGCTCCCTCTGCCTTTGGTACCTTTTCTAGGTATGTGGCTGTTCCTGAGTTGTACCCTGTATCATAAAACTGCAATCAGGAGCATGGTGCTCTCCAGGAGCTCTATGAGGCATTCAAAAGAATTATTTAAATCTGAGGGGGGCACAAGAAACCCCACATTTATAGCCAAGTGGGACAGAAGGGTGGGTAGCCTGGGGACCCCACTTGAAGCTAGTTCCTGAAGAGGAGTCTTGGTGACCTTGGCCTCTAACTGGGGGATTGGAACTAAATCTAGGGGGCTGGTACTGGAATTAGCTTGTGGGGCCTGTGCTAACTGTGGGTCACTGATTCAGAACTGATCTGAGTGTGGGAGCTCCTGTTGGCATTGCAATGCACAAGACCGCGTGGGGGCTTTAAGTAACTCAGGGGCTGCAGGACTGAGGGGAGGGGGCCAACTCAAGAAGCATCTCAAGATGCAAACAGTATGGGGCCAGACTTAAGGTGGCAAGTGGGCTGAAGGAGACACACAACTGGAGTATGTACATGTATGAGACACTGGTGGCTCTGTGAACAGACACCTATGGGGGACACTTACTCTGAGGTATAGAACACAGAAAAGAGTGAGGAATGTTGCAAACAACGGATGAAGCTAAGGCCTTTCTGGTAAATACTTCACAGAGGCTTTACTATCTAACAGGTGGCTTTTCCAGAGGCTTGTGAAAGATTAGGTGAGTCGGGCATGGAGGAACATGGCTGTAATCTCAGCCCTCAGGATGAAGGAGGTGAAAGTCTGTTTGGGATACATAGTAGAGAATTTGGCTGGCCAAAGGACTGACTCCACATAGGAAGAGTCTCAGAAATAAAATTAACTAATAATAATAATAATAGTAATAATAAAAAAGGTTAGCTAAGAGCCTGAAGAGTTGGGAGATGTTTAGAAGTATGTTTCGAGGAGTAAATGCGAACAGGCAAATGAGCAGGCCTTGAGGCCAGGAAGACTGCGGATGTGGGTCAGAGTGATTAGTGTCGTCCACACAGATGATGTGACAAGATACCAATAGTTTACATCTTTTTAAAAATTAATTAATTAATTAATTAATTAATTAATTAAATGTGCATGTGCATGCTGAAGCACGTGTGTGGAGGTCAGAGGACATCTGCAGGAGTAGGTTCTCTCTTTGTACCGTACGAGCCTGGGGGATCAAATTCAGGTTTTTCAAGCTCAGGCTGTTAGGCTTGATGGCGAGCACTTTTATTTACCCACTGAGCCATCTCACCCAGTTGTTTAAATACTCCTGAATTCTCTTCCTCTGGGGCATAGACCCTGCCTTTCAGTGGTAGTCTATGAATGCTGAAGATGATCACAAAAAACTACTTTGTATTAAACATATTCTTTATCAATCATATGTCTATACATTTTACTTCTTTACAGCCACAATATTCAAAATTTCCCACTTAACATTCTAAATTTTTCCAAAAAGTAAAAGAAAAAGTCAGTATGCCTCAATTCACACGTTGTTATGAACCTACATTTTACACAAACCAACAAAAATTTGTTTGCCTGGTAGGATCTGGATTTTGGACAACTGTTGTAACTGTGAAAAGGAAAAGTCAGTGTCTACCCCAAATACACTTATTTCTTTTGCCACTGGAAGGCAAAGAAAAAAAAAATCAGAAACTAAAGAGCAGCACAAAGGTGGGGGGCGTGGGAGAAGAGAGGAAGAGAGGAGAGGAGGAGGAAGGTTGGTTTGACACTCAAACCCATACTTAAGGGTTTCTACTTCAAAAGACCAAGGTTAGAGCATCCTACTAAAAGCTGACCTTAGGGCTGGAGAGGTAGCTCAGTAGTTAAGAGCACTGACTGTTCTTGCAGAAGACCAGGGTTTGGTTCCCAGCACCCATATGGCAGCTAACGACTGTTTGTAACTCCTGTTCTAGGGATCTGACACCCTCTTCTCACCTCTGTGGGTATTGCACAACATGGGTACACTTACATACATGCAGGCAATACACTCACACACATAAAATAAATAAATATTTAAAAGCTGACCTTAGATATTATTGCTTTGGCTTCTTCTATTGTCTTCTTTAAAACCTGCTTCATCTTTTCATTTGGAGCTATAAAAATAAAAAAGTAGAGGAGAGAGAGAGCCATCAAATACAGTCTTTCAGTGCCTCTGAACTCTCTAGAGCCCATCTGTCTGAGCCAGGGAACTTGTGAAGTAAGTATGTGCCAAGTCTGGAATTGACTTGATGGACATAGGAAAGACTGGGTGTAGGGGGTTAGTTAGAGATCCACCATGATGGCAGAGGTCTGCAATGTGCTTTATGCAACTTGGTGAAGGCTACAAAAACAGGGCAGACATGTCACTGGATAGACAGGGTCAGCAGACTCTGCAAAGAGCCAGACACTAAAACTACTTTAGGCCTCCTAGCCTATGGAGCAGCAAGTCAACCCCATTACAGAAGGAGACCCAGACAATAAATGACCAGGATGGCTGCATGTCAATAAAACTATGCAAGTGTATACGTATGTGCACATGCATGCTTGCTTTGAGACAGCTTCCCTGTGTCCAGGTTGGCCTGAACATCCTGATCCTCTTGCCTTAGCCTCCCAAGTGCTAGGATCACATTTGTGTGTCCTCATGCTGCATAAAACTTTATTTTACCTGACAATTGGTCAAATATCACACATGGCCCACAATTTACTAATCACTAGATAAGAAGGGGGGGGAAATCCTAACTTCAAAGTTTAAGAGTAAGCACAGTGGATTCAGTTTAAGATTAAGCACAGTGGACATAGAATCCTCAAATCTAGGGAAAATGGTACAGGTCCAAGCCATACAGTTGTAATAAGTAATAGAATCAATTGGCACTGAAAATATCAGAAATAAAAAAAAAATTGTCCTTTGGACCTCACTTTACTTCCCTGGGCGCATAGCCTCCAGTGTCCTGGTCCCAGCACCTTGGTGCCTTGACTCCCCCAGCCCTTTTCACCTCCCAGCTCCCCCTCCACGTCTCTCCTCTTAGCCTGGCTACAGGCCCATTTCTTGTCCTGGCACCCCAGACACCTGGCTGATCTCCACCCAGAGCCACCACTGCCTTCTGATCCTTTGCATCTGGACCAACCCACTTCCTCCCTGCAGTCCCCAGGAGCCCTCTGGGCCTGATCCCGCCCTCACCTCCCTTTACTTCCCTGGGCTGCACAGCCTCTGGGCGTCCTGGTACCAGCACCTTCCCTGGGGAAGCCCGATGCGCCCACCGTGCCTTGACTCCCCCAGCCTATTTCACCTTCTCAGCTCCCCCACTGAGTCTCTCCACCTAGCCTGGGTACAGGCCTATTTCTTGTCCTGGCACCCCAAACTCTGGGCTAACCTCTTGGCCCAGAGCCACCACTGCTTCCTAATCCTTTGCATCTGGACCAACCTAGTTCCTTCCTGCAGCTCCCAGGAACCCTCTGGGCCTGGTCCTGCACTCACCTCCCTTTATTTCCCTGGGTAGAAGAGCCACCAGCTTCCTGAGACCAACATCTATCCTGGACCCTTCTCCCAGGCCAGCCCAGCCCCCAAATTCCTGAGGGCAGCATCTTTCCTGGAGGGACCCAGACCTTAGGAGAAAGCCTGAGAGCATCTGAGCCTCATCTCACTTGGGCCTCCATGGGAACTCCTGAAGAAAAAAGCAATTAGGTCACTCCAACATAAAATCAAAAGAGAGAACCTGAAGCCTAGACCAACCAGCTTTTCATGCCCAACAAGTAAACTACAAAGGCACATAAAGTTTACAAAAAGAAGCAAGCCGGGTGTGGTGGCACACACCTTTAATCCCAGCACTCAGGAGGCAGAGGCAGGTGGATCTCTGTGAGTTCAAGGCCTGCCTGGTCTACATCATGAGTTCCAGGATGACCAGGTCTCAAAAAGACCAAAAAAAAAAAAAGCAGATCTAAACTCAACAAAGGAAGGCTTGAGAGTCTCACACAAGAATCAGAAACTTTGAAGAAAATTCACATGTCAAAGTCACAGAGGAAAAAATAATAATATGAAAACCCAAAATAATATATCCCCACCAAGTACCAATAGTCCTCTAGAGGAGTACAATGAGAACTCCCTAGAGATAACACAAGACATGGAACTCAAAAAGAACAATTATAAACATGATAAAAGAATTCAGTGAATTCTTAGAACACAAAGAACTGAAGGAAGATAGGGATAAACTTCTGAATGAATTCAGGAAAGAGTTAGAAATACTAAAGAAAACTCAGACAGAAATTAAGAAGGAAGTGCAAAACTCAATAAGCCAAATTGAAACAACAGGGGAAAGCCTCACCTCTAGAATGAATGAAATGGAAAACAGAGTATCAAGACTGGAAGATAAAGTGGAAGAATTAGACCACTCAAGCAAAGATTATGAAAAATTTAAGAAAACACAAGAATGGAATATGCAAGAATTGTGTGACACCATAAAAAAGTCAAACTTACAAATCATAGGCATGCAGGAAGTAGAAGGATCTAAAGATAATGGTATGGAACAGATCTTCAACAGGATTGTGGAAGAAATCTTCCCCAAATTAAAAAAAGACGTGCCCATACAAATACAAGAAGCACATAGAACACCAAATAGGCAGGACCAGAAAAGAAACTCTCCATGGCACATCATAGGAAAAACACTAAACATTCAAAACAAAGAGAGAATACTGAAAGCTGCAAAAGAGAAACAAGTCATATATAAAGGAAAACCCATCAGTATTACACAGCTGACTTTTCAGTGTAAACTATGACAGCCACAAGGGCCTGGATTAAAGTATTCCCAGTTCTAAATGACTACAGATACCAACCCAGATTACTTTACCCAGCCAAAATGTCTATCATAGTTGAAGGGGAAAGAAATATCTTCCATGACACAAATAGGCTGAAAGAATTCATGTCCACAAAACCAGCCCTTCAGAGTTCTTGAAGCAATACAAAGAGCTGAAGAAAGGAATGACCATACACAAGGGGTGACGGAAATAAATTCAATGAAGGTATAACTGTGGAAATGCACAGCTATATTAAGAATGTGAACAGAAATAAAAATGACAGGATTCAATACACATCTTTCATTAATAACTTCAAATATCAATGGACTGAACTCCCCAGTCAAAAGATACAGATTAGTAGAATGGATTAAGAAATAAAACCCATATTTTTGTTGTCTGCAAGAAACTGATCTTACTTTCAAGGA